CACACACACACACACACACACACACACACACACACACACACACACACAACACTCACATACACACATACACACGACGCACTGCAACCGCCCACTAATGAAAGAGCGACGGCCACGGCAAACGTATCATACAAATGTAACAATGAAAAACCATGATGATAATAATAATAATAATCTTAAAATATTATCATAACGTCGTTGTACGAGTACTACGTTGTATAACGATAAGGTATGTTATGAGAATTTTACTTAAACGCGCAGTGGGCGTTCAGATTTAATGCACTACATTATTTATTTATTTTGCATATGACATTAACGGATTCAAATAAGGTAGAATTAAAATAAAGACGATATAGGATTGTAGCAATTATACATTGTAGTTTATATGACTACTAGCAAATTTACCCGGCTTTGCACTGAAAAATAATTGTATTTGTTCAACTTCTTTAGGAATAAAAAACCCTAAAAATCCGTAACCTTTAAATATACTACAATCAATCTCCTCCCACCGCAGACAATAAAAAAAATGAAAAATTGGGCAACTTGGTGACACTGAGTATAGAATTTGGAACTAAAAGTCGAGAAAAAAAATTGGAAAAAAGTTCTAGTATCGTCAAAAAATTGGTACATAAAAAAGGCCTGTTATATTAAAAACGTATGAATATTTGGGAGATGGTGCTGTAACTTTTAGCGATCTCCGTGAGTAGTCTATATTAGTTAACCATTTGATGCACTTATACTGCGATTTAACAATGTCTGCACGAAACGAAATAACACCAAATCGACTGTCAAATGGCTTACGATCTGCTGACTACATCGGAAAAAAACACCCTTTCGAGTGCTACCCCAATGCTATATTCACCGCGTTCGAGCATTGCGAATGTGCAGAACGATATTTTGACAACGGGTGAACATCTAATCTCTTAATCGCGAATCGGTGGTCCACCTAAAGGATGACGGTGTATCACACCGTGTTCGGCGACAAATGTTTGACGAACGTTCATAGACCGAATGCGTCGATTTTCATGTTTTTTTCATTTTATTTTTCACAAGTGCGAGCTTTTGGACAGATCAATCTTGATATTTCCGGCCGACTGAAAAAAAAAAAACGGAAAACAACGAAAATACCACTAAAAACTAATACGTCAAAACGTGTTCGTGGCAAACGCGCCCGCCAAACCGTGCGGTGCGGCGACCGCGCACGCCCTTCATCGGCGCCGCACGCCGCAGGATAACCGCACGGCTGCTACCGTGAACGTATGTGACACGACGACAGGCGACCGTAAGGCAGTGGCGCGGCGAGAGGGGAAGACAGGGGAAGGATAAAAAACACCGATCGAATTTTTTCCGATCTTTCACCGTTACAACGCGCGCCGGTTAGGAGAATTCGACTCGAACATGTGCGCGCCCGCGTCCGTAAGCATATTATCGTCGTATGCGTGTGCACGGCGTCGCGCGGATATTTATAGCCCGGAGAGAGGGCCATTTATATCTGTGCGCGCGTTCGCCAGCCGGTCACGCGCGGCCCGACCGCGACGGGACGAAGAGGAGTGGTGTGCGCCGGTGCGGCGACGGAACGCGCTCGGGGATATCGTGAAAAGCGCGCGGTTCGTCCGGGGGCCGGCCGGCCGATCGCTTTTGCCGCCCGCGTCCGAACGAAATACCACCCGTGCAGGTACACGGAGGACACGTTTCGTATAAAACGAATAACGCGCATTTATTATTCTTCGTGACGGCTCTCCGAGAAGACCTGCGGACGACGTTGTAAGAAGGTATTTTCGTTTCTCTCCCCGTCACCCCTCTCTTTGGCCGTATGAAATATAAAAAAAAAAAAAATAAAATAAAATAAAATCTCTCTCCCTCTCGCTCACTCCGTCACTCCCCGCCGCTGATACGCACACTCACGACACACAATAAACGCACGCGAACGGCCGTCGCTCGCAGGTATTAACGACGTCGTTACGTCGTACGCACTCCACCGCCGCCGCCGTAAGCACGGACGCACGCACGCACGCACGTATAGTGGTCGTCGTCATCTTGGGCCGGTCGGCGGCGGCGGCGGCGGCGGCGTCTCGGCGATCGGACTAAAGATAAACGAGCGCGCGGCGGCGGTCGCCCCGCGTTTCCCGCCCGCCCGCCGCCGCCGCGGTTGTCCGCGTCCGTGCACAACTATTTCAGGTTCGTCTCCGGAGCGTCGCACGCGCGCACGCACGCGCACGTCTGGTCGTCCGTCGGGCGTGCACGGGCTGCGTGTGCACAGCTTTCCCGACGACGGAACCAACGCGGACAACGGTTATAACGTAACAACGGCGACGGTCATCACTTCGGCGGCGGTCGGGTGCCGGATAAAAACGTAACTGCACAGCAGCTACGAGAAAAACAAAAAAAAAAAAAAAAAAACCGACAACAATAATATTATCATCCGCGGTGGTGCTGCCGGTGCTGTGTGCAGCAGTCGCGGTCGTCACAGTAGTGGTGGTGGTGACGGTGGTTACGGTTACCGCGGCGGCGGTGGGGGCGGTGGCGAACGCGTATACCGGTGCGACGCGGACGGTAAACAGTCCGTGCGCGCCAGTCTTGTTTCCCAGCGGATCCGGTTCGGTCGAGCGTACGCGTGTTCACATCGCACACAACACAACATCGGTCCCGTCCGCGTTTGCTAGATTCTTTGCGCTCACACCGTTTTTTTTTTTTTTACTGCGCGGCACGCCCGCGTGCGATCCCGACCCTTTGCCCTCGGCTCCACAGCAGTCGCGTCGTCCACCGATCCGGCGCGTCCCTCGGCTCCGGAACAGGTGCCGCCCGAACAGCAGTCCCGTCCGTACTTGCGCGCGAGTGCAATGACCGCGTGAACGGCACGCAGCCGACGTACACGCGTGACGCCCGTGAAAAGAACTCGCGCGCTCCAGAAATGCAGTCCAAGGACGCGCGGTTACGCCGCTCCGACGCTTCGCTGATCCTGGCGTTGGCGCTGGTGCTCGCCGCTTCGATCTCCGCCCAGGACACCGTCAAAAACTCAGGTGCGTGGTACACATAACCGTTTATTGTTGTTTATTATTATTAGTGTGGTCGTGTATGTATGCCTACGTTTCGATGTATCATCCGTACACGGTCTTCAGTCCTTCCACGTCCCCCCATCACGTCCCGCCCAACCGCCCCTCGTTTCACGACGGACCGCTTACGGCGCAAACGACAGCGTGCACACAACAATGCACATAGGCACGTCGTATACGCAGTGCCGTCGTCGTACATTACACCACCCGTGCGCGTTCGCTGCAGCCCATCGCCGCGGCCTCAATGTACGCGACTCGGATACGTTTGTTATAGGCGTACGTGCGGCGCGCGCGCCCGATGGTAACCGCGGTCAAGGCCCGCCGGTAAGGGCCCGGGCGGTTGACAGCGTCCCGGTCGGACACCACCACCCCCACCATCATCACTCTCTCGTAACCAGGACTTCGTTCGGGATTTCCGCGAAACGCCTGCCCGTGGCATCATCCGGACCGTGTACCCTCCGTCCAAGCGAATTCTGGTCGCGCGTGACGCCCACGAACTAATCATGGCATGCGCGCTTGTAGAGGGGGGAGGCAAAGGGACCATTGCCCCTACTGGGAATTTTTGTTCCGAAACTATTGTTGATTAATTACTACCCATATTAATTATAAGATAATTTTATTGAGATCCACCATTTATGAAGTTAAGTAAATTGTATTATGTTTTTAGATAATCTAAAATGTATAATCTTGAACTTGTTTATTGTTATACAATGTTCACACATGACTGCATATCGTTTAAAACTAAATTTTCCTGAGCATCGATTTCTATGGTATTTGGTTTTGTTCTCATATATATTTTAAAGTACACGTTGTTTTGGCCCTTAGAATCTCCCATAACGCGGGCGCGCATGAGTCAGGGCCGGACCGGCCGATATGGCAGTCCGGTGATTTCGTGATTTCCGTATACACATTGTAATTACATTTCACGCGAAACGCCGCCACGTCTCCCGTTGCCGTTTACGGTGTACCCGCTTCGAAACCACATTTCAGTGGACCTGTTGCAAGCCCTAGTTTGATCGGATTTACTATTAATCGATTTGTTTACGGACACTAAAGAGCGTTGCAATTAAAATACGTGTTACCAAAACAATTTTTCGAATAATATGTATTATAACATATTATATATGTTCTTTGTGTATGTGTAGCTTTGTATGATATTTCAATAACTAGTGTCAACTGCTATTAACACATTTCTTGCAAAAAACACGGTTGTGTACTTTAATTTTAATCGTTCGAGTTAACAACGATTAACCTGGAAATTATGGGCTGAAATCGGAATTCAGTTAGATATATTTTATTTCTAATCCGTTATAAAAACTACTAATTATCTTAACCATATACTTATGGGTATACATTAGCTTGAACCTTTTCTAACCGGTTTATGTCAGATAAATTCCACCAAAAAAAACAATATCGAAAACCAAATATAATGATAAAGAGTAAATGAAAAATACGAAATACCTATTATACTGTGTGGGTATGCAAATCTTATATGAACGAAAAACCCTCGAAAAAAGCTATCTTAACACTCGAGTTAGAGTAATTTACGATAAAATCGCTCGACGATAAACAAATCAGGGGGCAAGCTCGTATTCTTACCGAGTCCGAGTTTTCTTATGCCACTATGTAAATTCTAATTTAATACGTTGTTTTGCTGTCAATTGAGTGTGAACAATTTATGCTCTAAGTAAATTTCGAGTTAATTTGCTATCAAATGTCCCATCAATGAAAAAATTATATATCTCTACATTAATAACATTTCGTATGAAAAGTTTAATTTTTCTCCAATATACACTCTTCTGAAATTGTTTAGAATAATTACTAATTTTCTTTTCTTATTAAATAATTCTTAAATGCTACCATAACGGTTGATATTTGGTTGATATGATTTGAACGTTATTTATTATACTTTAATCTTAATAATACATTGATGCCATCATAAATTATACGAGCTATATTCGTTATGTGAATAAATATTCATTATATTTATTATTATGTATTCAAATACCATGTTTTATAATATTGTTCTATATATATGTATTTGTTTTTAATTTGAAGTTTTTGGTGTAACCCGTGTGCCTTCACCAAACAATTGTCCGATTTAGTACAATGTAAAATACGAATTTGGTATTTAGATAAAAATAATTGTATTATAAATGTATTTGAGATTAGTAAAATAAAAAAAAAATTATTGCAAAGAGAATGCCTGATTAAATGAGTGGTTAAAAAAATATGTAAATGGTTTTATTACCTTCGCATATGTTACGTTAGAATAATTTCACCTAAAATTAATAATATACAAATTATCAACTTCCTAGTAAGAGCTTGCATTTCTAATGTTTTGTTAGCTTATTATTTTATTTTGTTCATTACTAGTTTTATGTACTAATTAAATTATTTAAAAACATGGTATCATAATCAGTCATTTTAATTATATATATTATTGTACTAAATTATATTCTTGTGAATGTCAATCTAATTCATTGTAATGTGATTATGTAAAAGTATTAGATAAATATTTATATCTCATAAATTAATCTGAATTTCACTCTTTACTCCATCATGATGTGCACACATTTAGGCTTAAAGGAGTTCATATAAAAAAATTAATACATTTTTAAATATTTTTTGACAAATGTACTGGAATAAAATTCTTTCGTACGATATTTTTGTTCTGAACATTTCGATAACTGTTAAAAACACTTATATGTACTTACTACATGTTTTCTCAGAACGAACGAAGTTAATTATTACTTTATTACTACCCGTGTGTACCAAATATTTTCGATAAAAAGAACAATGTACATAGCTTGAATTCAACTTTATTTCTTCTGTTTGACACATATTTTTATTATGATTGCATGTTTATTATATCAATTGAAAAAAAAAACATTATCATTATTATTATTATTATTATTATTATTATTATATACGTTGAATAATTTTTTTTTTTAAGCCCAATCATTTAAATATGATTTTATAAGTCCCTTCAAGACATTTCTATACTTTTAAATAAATTCATCCGAATTGTATTCAAAATACTAAACGCTGGAGTAGGTGCTATATTAACATGTTCGCTAACGTCACGTTCGTGCGGAAAGCCGTATTTATATATTCAGTAAACAGTAATAGTCCGTGACATTTTTCACATAAAATACCATTTTGTTAAATTAATGCGTTTTATTTTTATTTTTACTTTTAAGAATAAATTTTAGTAAACGTCGAAACGGCTTTAACAACTTACGTGAACCCTATAACGTCGAAGCCCGCGCGGAGTGCTTTGTCATCCAAAGCTACTACGTGTGCACATACCTATATAGCGATGTAGCAACGAAAAAAAATAAAGTATATTGACGTTGCACTAGTCATCCGGTAAGTAGGTGGGTTCGTGGTAAACGATTTTGTTTCGTACCGGTTATTGTAATTGTACTGTTCGGTATGCGGTTGGAAAGCGGTAATGGATCGAGTAGGGACCATATGGTCTACGAAAAACTTTATTTTCGTTGTATTTTACTAGTTTCAAAAAAAAAAAAATTATGTTGCCGTCGATTCGTTTTCGTAAAAACTAAATTTACCCATTTGCTTACCCGTTCAATTTGTATTTCGATTTTTACTTCTCGTATCTATACTAATGATATAAATATAATATAATTATAATTATATAATTATAATAAATAAAAGAACGAGTATCGACTAGCATATTATGTTCGTACAACATGAATGGTTTTTTCTTTTCTTTTTGAGTTTTCGATATTCTGACGACACGTCCCAACTGCTGTAACACAATATACATTTGGGCAAATACCTTGCTAACATTTTTCATTTTTTCGAATAACATTCTGATGCAAAATTGCCTTTGTGTACTGAAACTGGTTTCTTCGACAACTACCCGTGTCATAATGAAAATTGTTTCCATTTGCACTTCCATGTTTCACATAATAATTATTAATGTATTACTAACAACTAATATCTTGTATTGCACTTAAACACGCGTATCGGACTAAAACTAATGTTTTTTTTTATTTTTTTGAAATTGACTGAAAAATTAAAAATACTTCTTATTTTTAGTATTAAGTTGGATTTTTAATTTTTATACTTAGTAAAAATGTGTTAAGTAATTAAATATTTTATATATTTTATAAATTAGAAAAAGATCTTTTTATTTGCAATTTTCTTTTCTTATTCTTTCGAATAGGTACCTATTGAAGTATAAAATATTATTACTAATCAGAATGTAATAATACTATAATTAAATATATCATATTCTAAATTTTAATTTTAATGTTGGCAAGTTAATTATATGGAATATTTGCATACGTATAATATAAAAGTATTTTTCTATTTCCTTTGATACTTCTATTCTTTCATAATAATACATAAAAAAAAACAGTTATTTAATCTAAAATATTAATATTAAATATTAATTACTTTAATTCTTCATGTAATCTAATAATATAAAAATATTAATTGTGTTACATACAAGTATATTATCATTACAATGAATTTGCTATAAATATACCGCGATAAGATGATGATGATGATGATTATTAATAAATCTGTTAATAATAGACTAATTGCACTACAATTGTCTATTTTTAATTTATACTTCCTCTTTTTACTATTAATTTAAATTATAATTGTATTCTTGTTTATAAAGGATTTTATTTGTAGACGGTATATAATGTATATAATATATATTATACGCTTTATACGTACATACGTGTTTAATTTATATTTTATACGTTTCAATCCTGGTATTGATTATTCACTCCATTTGTTTTTCGTTTGCCTGTATTATATTATATTAGTGTACCATTGTTCGAATTCAAACTCATCATCGACTTGACGTAACAATTGTTCGATTTCGTAAAAAAAACTTAGCTACCATAACTTATTTAATCGTAGAACCAGTTAAGAACAACCATATTGGTGTAAATTAACTACCTAAATTCAAAATTGCTTATGGA